CGGGATAGCAAAGGTGACAGCTCTTGCGCACCTGCGAACGAATTCGCACCACACAGTTGGCCATGGCAAGGTTATCCACTGGCGAGTTCTGGTCCGAAAGCTGGATAGAGAACGTGGACAGGGGTATACGTTCCCCTACATCCATTACATGTGAACTGTCCCATCCATGCAGCCCGGGGGACGAGGAAGATCTAAGGTATCCCATCGGCTGATGTCTAGGCTCTCTCGCAAGTTATTATTAATATATTATTCGATTTGCATAGACCGTTAGGTGTTGGTTTCCACTTTTTGGGACAATTAGAAATCTACATGCAAGTTTGTATACATGATAGCTTAAATATGAAATTAGTTGATACACAAACTACTGATCAAATATTCTGGCATGAGTAAAATTTGCACAACAACCTAAAATCCGGAAGCACGTCATATAAATACATATGATCTTGTGTCCCTCTTTGTATGGTCATTATTAGAAAGAATTAACTTTTATATGTTCATTGTCTTCTCCCCACCACCCTATGATCAAGTCGTGGCTCCGCCCCTAGCGACGGGAAACGAACAAAGTGAGGCCAACACAAAAAGGACGACATGGAGGGCACTCTTGCACGCCAAAGCCCCGAAGCCCCCATATCAGTGTTGCATCATCCTTCATAGGAGTAATGACTGCAAATGGAAGAATTTCCATGGAGAACCTGGTAGCTCCCAACCATGAATTCCCATCCTACATGATCCATCTCTCCATGGCACACGATTTAGTATGCATTATTTCCATTTACAAATGGGATAATGTGACAACACAAGCACACCATTTACTATGAATTATTTTCATTTCATTGTTGTATTTTTCACCTATATCTTCCTATTTAATACACATGTAAGGTAGGTAGGTCCCCTGCCCCCATGTCGTCCCCAAGGGGCGACACGGGCGGACCCTCTTCCCGCCGTTGCCAGTCCCCCTCCTCCCCGCGCCCCCTCGCTGCCTGGCAAAGTCCCTCCATGGGTGACGGCGGCGAGGCGGTTCACCCTCTTCATCTCCCTCTGCTCAACCCCGGTCTCTCCCCTCGCTCCCCATGACCTTAGCTTGGTCGGCGGCCGGTGGAAGCTTCTCTGGCACGCCGTCGGTTGGTGGTCTTCCCGGGATGAGGTAGCGATAGCCAGAAGGGTCAGCGCAGTGCCTCTCCTTGGCCTTGGGGACTCATTGACCAACAGCTCACCCCGGCTCTGATCAACCCCATCATATACATGGGGAGACTAGAAAGGCACGAGTCAATATGTATGGATTTACTTCCTTGGAATGTAAATCGTCCGCACTATGGCTCAGGCCTAGAGGCAACTCGACCCATAAGTGGGTCAACTTATAGATGTGGAGCCTAGAATCTAATAGCGGCATCCCCTTGTATCCAATGGTGAAAGAGAACAACTTGTAGTAAGGTTGTCTACAATCCGTTGTTAGTCCACGGCAGGATACCCTAATACCATGACCTCACTCTTATTGAAATTGATCTTAAGGTCAGACATAGCCTCAAAAGCATAGAAGAAGGAACTTGAGGTTGATGATATCAAGACCCCTCAACCATGATAATGGTGTCGTCCGCATATTGAAGGTATGTAACACCAGTGTCAGGGATAACATGCCCAATCACAATGGAGATGTGGGTGGATCCTAACCTTATCCAGGATGACTGCAAGGACGTCAACAATTAGTTAAAGAGTGTGTGGGTGGGGGCAGGGGGGACAGGACCCCCTGCTTCATCCCATGAGAAAACCTAAAAGCCTACCTCCTCACTAATATTAATTGTGGTGCTAACGCTTGTGATCAACTGTATGATCCAAGAACACTAACGGTCATCGAACCCCCTTCGCTCAAGAACTAAGCGAATGAAGGACCAGTTGAGGCAATCTTGTGCCTTTTGGAAATCCAACTTAAAGAATGTGCCTTTCCAGTTTCCATCGTGGACTTTAACCTCATGATCGATGCCATGAATTGTTAGAATTTCATTATGGATGGGATGGCCCTTGAGAAAGGCGAACTGGTAAGGATGGGAGATACGTTTCATCATCGGGGTAGATCGGGCCTGGTCACACATAGTACCTTGGAGACAATCCATTGTAGTACATTAATCATCCCGATCAGCCTAAAATGCTGTATATCGTCGCGTCAACTATCTTGGGATCAGAGTAATGAACTAATGATATCGTGATAGTATGAGAGTGACGCGGATGAAAGGACCGGTAATTAGACATGCACATACGTGCATGCATGCAAAGCTAGGCAGGGCCTCGTACCACATGCATGCTACGTATCTGCAACGAGGCAAGATACCAATCGAGTGCATGCCATGCCCGGGCCATGCATACCGTCGACTCAGAGCTCCATCGGCAGCCATGCAAGGACACTTTTATGTGCTATGGCATGCATGATGCATGTCGAGTCAGACGACGACGACTGCCACCCTCACCCTCGTAGTCGTAGCTAGACCAGGCCACAAGTAGAATGGAGACCACACAGCTAATATGCATGCGTCGTGTTGTGAATCAATCACTAGCCTGACACGACCTCCTTCTATCGATCGAGCGAGTCTCCTCCCTTCTGCACTCTGCACTGATCTGATCTGATCTGCAGACGGTCCCTACATACGCGTGCGGCCGGCCCCCCTCCCTCGCCCGGGGCTGCACAAGATGACCTCATCATACACCAGAGGCAGCACAGCACACGTCCGAGCCCCTACTAGCACCTGCACTGTGTCGCCGTCCCCGGCCGGCCGTCGAGTATGCTATGCTTATCATCCTCTATTCGTCTCAGCCACCATCAATAACTCCGGTAGGTGTCCACTCTATATATACACGCTATTCGTTCCATCAGCCTTTCTCATCTGAAGTCTCATCAGTCGGCGTAGTTGAGTACTGGTACTCTACTATATTCGTCTGCTTGCTCTGGACCTCTGGTGTGGCTATGCCAGCTACCGGCGGGGGTCCTGGCGCCGCGCAGCCGGCGGTGGCGAGGAGGCCGAGCAGGTACGAATCGCAGAAACGGCGTGACTGGCAGACGTTCGTGCGGTACCTGGCGGCGCACCGCCCACCGCTCGTGCTGCGCCGGTGCAGCGGTGCCCACGTACTCGAGTTCCTCCGCTATCTCGACCGCTTCGGGAAGACCCGCGTCCACGCGCCGCCCTGCCCGGCCTACGGCGTACACGCGATAACGGCGACGGCGCCGTGCCAATGCCCGCTCCGCCAGGCGTGGGGCAGCCTCGACGCGCTCGTCGGCCGCCTACGCGCCGCCTTTGACGAGCGCTACAGCCGCAGCGTCAGCGCGCCGCCGCCGCAGCAGCAAGACGCCAGTTGCAACCCCTTCGCCGCACGCGCCGTCAGGCTATACCTGCGTGACGTCCGCGATGCGCAGTCTAGGGCGCGCGGCATCTCCTACCACAAGAAGAAGAAGAAACGCAAGCTTGCCACTGGAAGCTGCACCGTGGAGGCCTCGTCCTCCAAGAACGGCGGCTGCGCGGACGCCAACTCGGACGGCGAACGCGGGCACAAGACTACGATGACGACGAAGGCTAACGTGGCGCCGGTGCCTCAAGCACCGCCACCGCTGCCGCCTCTGCCGCCATGCCTGGCTGGGGTACCGTTCGAGTGCGGCTCCGACACGGGAAGCATCGCTGGAGGAGGGGGGTCTATTGGCGCCGGCTACTACGGCGGCATATACTTGCCGTTGTTCTTCAACGCATTTAATTAGCTTCTTGATAGATTAGCCTCAAAATGCCTCGTAGTGCCCAATTAATGTTCGATTATAATCGACGTACGTCGAGGGCATCGTAACGCACCCTATGTTACTTTGCTTATCTTTATCTTTATCTTTATCTTTACCTATCTTTACCTCTTTATCTTTATCTTTATCTTTATCTTTATCTTTACCTACTAATAAACCAGCGACCGTTTCTGGTCGTACGTCGTCGGCGTTTTTTTAAAAAACTCCTTCCGTTTCTGGGAATTTGACCCGCAGTCCTATTTCTAAGTGGGTAACGTTTCACTTTTTATAACGAAAAAAAATACCCAAACACACACGGGCTCGGGCTCGCGCTCACCTCCTCTCCCTCTCGCCCAGAAGTCCTCGCCGCCGCCGCCGCCGCCGCCACCACCCACGCCGACCGCTTCCGGCGAGCTCCGGCACCGCGCAACATGTACCCGAGCTCCCCACAGTCCGCGCCTCCCTCCCCCGCGGCCAGATTCTCCGCTCCCGGCATCTATCGCCCGCTCGCAGCCCCGCCCCCATGGCTAGGGTTTCGAGCAGGGCTTCGCCGGTGCATCTCCCGCTCGCCGTCTTCTCCCACCACGCCGGCCTCCCTTCGCTAGGCACCCTCGCACCTTTCGGCACCCTTGCACTGGGCATTCCTTTCTCTCCCCCTCACGGCTCCTCCCGTCGCCGAACTGGAGCACCAGCCGATTTGGGGCAGCAATGCCACGAGCTAACACCCCTGCGTGGGCTTGCTCAATCTGGGGCAGACGCGCCAGTTCTGGCGTGGAGAGAGGAGGAAGGTGAGACGGGAGGCCAAGGCAACGGCGAGATCCACGTCGAGCTGCCATGGCCATGACCTGATCCACGACGAGGTTAAATGGGGGCGGCTGCTTCCTAAAGGACGACGAAGCTCTCCAAGGGTGGGCCTTCTGTTCTCCCCGAGAATGATGTACCCGTGGCATGATTGCTCTTCATGTGTACGTGCTTGCTGTATTTACCTGCATCTGATGGTTCTTCCAATGTGCGTGTTTGAGAAATACACCTGCAGGTAATGGTTCTTCATGCTATGTGCCTGGTTCTTGTGTTGCTTCCAGGGCATAGAACTGCCCGCAATGATTCCTTGTGTGCTTTTGTTCCGAGTTCCTTAGCTTCTTTTGGTGGATTAGCTACTGTATAAAATAAAACAAGCAAGCAGTTCATATGGGTTGATTAGCTGATGCATGTGATGTGTATAAATGGATAATTGAGATGGGTGTGATTTATTATGGGATGTAGTCTGATTTCTAAGAAAAGGGTTTCTTCTTGGTTGAGAATAATGGAATTTGAGATGTACTGCTATGTGTTTGCTCTCCATCTTGGACCTTCTAAGCTGCACCTGGTAAAGTGTTGATAGGTTTGACGTAAGTATTTTGGACCTAACACATTTTTATCAATTGTTTCAGATTGACCCGGCGAAATACAAGAGCATCTCATCTGGATTTAGCGTTCTGCTAAAGGAGCAAGGAGCTAGGGGATTTTTCAGGGGATGGGTGCCTACCATGCTTGGTTACAGTGCTCAGGGGGCTTGCAAGTTTGGGTTCTACAAGTTCTTTAAGAAGACCTACTCAGATATGGTTGGGCCTGAGAATGCCGTGAAGTACATGACCCTATAATTTACCTTGTAGGGTCAGCTTCTGCTGAGGTAATTTTTGATATCGCTCTATGCCCCTTTGAAACTGTCATGGTCCGTGTGCAGACACAACCTGGATTTGCTTGTGGGTTGAGTGATGGGCTTCCCAAGTTCATCAAATCTGAGGGTGCTGCTGGGTAAGTAAATCTCCAGCCATCTTAACAACTTCATGATTTGCTTTACTTACCCTTATCCTATGCGCTCTAACTTATTGGTTAATAATGCCAGGCTTTACAAGGGAATTGCTCCTCTCTAGGGTCGGCAGATTCCTTACAAGTGCTTTCTCTCATCATTCTGTTATAGTCTTCTAATTTGAATTGTCACTACTATGGTTGTTTCACAAATGTGGCCTGCTTTGGAACCAAATGCTCTAAAGCTGGTCCCCTGTTTCATCTAATCGGCCTGTTTGTTTTTCTTTGATACCAATTGGCGATGTTTAGTTACCTTTTCTTCTCCTATATGAGCAAACTACTATCCTATTGATGGCCAACCATGCTGATACTATTCTATATTAGTTTTACCATTTCTATTTGTTGCCTAGCTTACGGACATTATTCATCGACTCCTTAGAGTCATTCACTCCACAGTTTCGATGGAAGTTTTTAGCTGAAACTCCAAAATTCACTTTTCTTGCCAAAAGTAAATATGTTAGCCAGACATGAGATTACTGTATGTATGTCCATCCACACTTGCGCTGCAACAGAAGAGAACAACTTAGCATATATGACCCACACAATAATAAAGAATAAAGAAAAGGATTAGATATTTTTATATAGTATAAATAATAAAGAAGCGTGACCCCAGACTGTTAAATATGTGATATATATCCAAAGGAGAGTGAAGATAGCTTTTTTGTTGTGCTGCCAACTGGGTTAACAAATTCAGATTATGTTATTGTTCTGTACAACAATACCTTGCTAAACGATGGACGTCCTCAGCGAAGAAAGCCATGTCCATGACCCTCTAAAGAAGAAAGAACACAAGCCATAAGAAACAAATGCACTTTCATATACTTAGTAGAAGTCGACTCCAAGTGAAAATGAGGAGTGCATAGCCGGTTACCATCTAAAGATATTGGCATCAGAAATCCTCAAACACCTCCTTGAACAGTTAAATTGCAGGACAAGTTTACATAGACTATTTTGTAAATTGCAATTACTGAATATGAGCACACGAGCAAACAACCAGACAGTAATGGCCTAATGGGCAGTGATTATTCATGAGTGTCATCCCATAGAATGTTCAAATTCACTAAAATAAGCCAATTCAGCCCTTAACAGTCTAGCAGAACATCTCTCACAGATTTTGCCACTGATTCGTGAGTGGGGAGGATATAGATGCCAGGCGGGATATGGTGAGATACAATGCCGATGTCTAACGACAACAGTGGGTCGAGCGACACGGGCTTCTGTCCAGCGACGCCAAGAAAGAAGCGGTAATGACGGGCGCCGACCAGTCTACGCGTATTATGGTCTTACAGTCCAATTTTGTGTTTTTCATATCAACATGATTGTTTTACCGTCAATTTTCTGAATATTGTTAGTGACTAACTATTTCCTAATTTTGTTTATTTAGGTTGAATGTTGTTTCATTCCCCACGCGGCTGAATCCAACTCGGTCTTTATCCTGCCTTGGAGTTCTCTCTCATAACTGAAGCCAGGAGGTATTCGATTTATCGGATTTCGAGCTAGCTGCCCTTTTCTTGCTCCTTGCCATTAGCGCAGCCCTTTTCCAATTGATTTCACTAGATCCCCTGTTTGTACAGTATGGATGAAAAACCTTGCAATTATTTCACTAGATCGATTGATGATAGCTTGCTGTTGCTGATGACACCGAAGAAAATGTATCTATCCCGGGCCAGTTGCCAACCAAACCAACATTATCTCAGTTACCGGTTCAAAGATGTCTCAAACCACGCACAAACATTTCAGTTGATACATACACCATAAGTTTGGTTGTCCGCTCTTTTAGATGCCCAGAAGCATGATTCTCAAGATCATTGCTCACTGAACATAAGACCAAATGTTCCAATTTATTTTATTGCTTAAAGAAGAATTGGTGTTCTGTTGTGTTATCATGTGACACTATATGGCATCAGGTTGTTTGCTTCTATCAATTGGCACTGTTATTAATGTTTCTGTTAGATTATTGTCTACCTTAATGATCTGTTCAACCAACAGGTATGGAAGTTGTTGGTGTGGTGACCGCCGTAGGGCCCGGGCTGACTGGCAGGAACATTGGGGATGTTGTCGCCTACGCAGGCAAGCCGATGGGCTCTTATGCCAAAGAGCAGGTTATTTCAGCCAATGTTGGTTCCCATCACACCTTTGATTGATCACACAGCGGCTGCTATCGTGCTGAAGGGGATGACTGTCCATATGCTGGTTCACCACATATTTAAGGTACATTTTGTCTTGCTCCTGCTGTGTGACATACTGACCTGCTGCACATCCGCGTGAAGCACACCCACCCGCTGCCGGAGGCGTCCCGCGCCCACGCTGACTTCAAAGCCCGAAAGACGCCGGGCTCCATACTGCTGACCCTATAGAACTAAGCACCGTCATCTTTTTTGGGTAGGAGAAGAAGGCATAAACAGGGGACTCGGCGAAGAATCTACAATGCTTGTCAATATGTTTGCATCTGAACACTGAATCCTTTTTCTCTCTGTTTCTCCTGGTTATGTTGGCTTCAGTATGAGTGAGTGTGTTTGTTGGTTATGAGTTGGATCGTGGTCTTGCTGTGCACATCATTGTTTGAAGCATGACGAGTTGTAAAGACCAACATTTTTCAACATAGTGACCTAGCAGGACAAGTATTTCCCTCAGTTTGTATATTTTTTATATTCATGTCAAGTTATACACTAGACTAATTATAACAACATGTCAAGCTTATAAGGCATGGCGAGTTCATGTCAAGCACCTACAACTCGGTCGTCAACAAGTCGATAACATCACATACTTGGTTTTAGAAATTAAAGTAACAAGCGCAAACACCAATCCACTGGTGCACCACAAGGCGGCCACCACAAGGCGGCATTAGCGTTGCCGGGTGAGAGGCTGTGGTGGATCGTTGCTAGGAATTGGTTTGGTTGTGTCAGGTGTGTGCGTGCAGCAAGCCTCTCTGGCCACCTACCCCGGCATTGGGGTTAGACGGAAGATGGGTAATTAAACAAAGATATATGTGAAATTATAAAATCAAGTGATTTTCTCGCATTGTAAAGTCATTTTGTTTTACCCGTTGCAACGCACGGGCACATTTACTAGTTATTATTAATTCTTGTAGTTGTTCCGTGGTCTATGTAGGCATTTCGTGTATCATTCAGAGTACTCATGGCTCATGAGAATGAGATCTACTACTTCATTCGTTTCAAAACAGATGACCCAATTTTATATTAACTTTGTATTAAAATTATTATAAAGTTGAGTCATATATTTTGAAACGGATGGAGTAGCTCCCAACAAATGATTTATGCATGCACCCTCACTAACTAGTTTCTCAACATATTTATACTATTTGTGGTGGAGGTAGATTAAAAGATAGAGTTAATTACACTTCTTGTATTACATGAACTTGCACGGCGGGTACAAATTCATACATAAAATTGAAAAATGTCATAAAGTAGTACAACAACTTGCGTTTGAGGTACATTTACATGCATTTTCGTTCCAGGTCGTTATCTCTCTATTAACCCTGTTTACTTGCAAGCCATAGGCCCGCGCTCTCTTAAATGCGGACCCCGCCAATAAATGATGATAGAAAATAAACTGAAAAATAAAATATCAGGTGAAGCCGATGGAACTCTAACTAAAGACCGCACTACATTGACGTAGAGAGGCTAGCTATTTAATTAGTCACTAGCAAAAATGTCCGTGCGTTGCAACGGGGGAATGTAAGGTGCAAGAATCAGGCTTAGATATTGTAGTGGTGGAATACTTATCATGTAACTTTTTTACCGTTAAATCACTCTTCTTTCTTAATTACAATATACCGTGAATCATATTTTTCCCCTCTGTAGCTCACAAATAATTGGTTAAAAAAACTTTAGCCATTATTTAGTTCAAGAAATTAGCCAAAAATTAATAGTACCTTTGAAATTATGTATAAACAAAACTTGCTCCCTGGTTAACATGTTTGCTATCACTAATTATTTCACAATGTAAGACTATACAAACAACAATGGATGTCCCAACCATTTCTCAACTAAAACTTCATACACATGTGAATTGTTGCCAAAAACTGCTAGAACAAACATGTTGAACTGATTTGTTTTTGGCACTGGATCAACTCATAATCTTACTTATAGACTGACATGTATGATGCTTATAAACCGAAATATGTTTTAGAGCAGATAAAAAAGAATGTACAGGGACTTCCAGTTGCATAAATATAATTGTTGGTTATATATGAAACATCTAAAATTTTAAGAGTCAAACATGATCTAAGGAAGTGACACACATCTGCAACTGCAAGTATCTAATAATAAAATCCATATTAAAGATAACCTTTATTGATTCAAATATTTCAAGTTCCGTCCCTTTGTTTCAATAGAACGGCCACTCGTCCAGCACATCCCCTTTGTCATAGACCAATAGAAAAAAAAATGGATACATATTTATCTGGTCCTACTCCTATCATAGTTTACATAGTAAAAAACTAAGATTACCTATGTCTACATAATGAGATTCATTTGCATCATCATGTTCTTACTTTGAAAAATGGTAGCAGCATATAGAAAGAATCCAATGTGTTGGTTTGGGCACAATGGAAAATTCAGTTCAGATACCTATACTCAACAGTCAACACCAGCTATCATGGTCACCCTCATCTTGACTTAGTACCGATCAAGCAGCACCAAGTTGAGTAACCAACAAACTTCAGTGACTATCTGTTGGATTTTTTAGCATAATAGTAAGGAAAGCATCTGAACAGATCTCAGTATTCCAAAATTAAAATTAACAAACCTACAACATGCATGTTCGTGTA